ATTATTGGTATTTTAATGACAGCATCCAACAGTGTCCAAAGCACTTCACTCTGGAGGACTGGGCACCACAAGTGGAAAGGCCACATGCGCGGTAATGAGTGCACCGGTAATGCAGCTGTTTGAATCGTACATCAACAGGCGGACACGCATATTCCCAACATGTTTACCCACTTGCCAGGTTGACTCCTCCACGGGAAACCTTCTCCAGAGTCGCGTGTGGGACCGCTGTCTTTGCAAGGAGAGGCCTTCATATGAATTCCCCGCGGTTTATCAGCGCAGCTCACAACGTTAGGTCACCGGCATTATGCAAACGGCAGGCAAAACGCAATGCAAACAGCATGCGCCAGCGCCTGGTACCCGAACGCCGTACTTCCATGGCATCTTAATCCCCTATTATTTATTTAGTGTCAGCTCCTTAAACATGCTCCGGAGGCCGGGGAAGGTGTGCAGCTTACGGGGCCTGACAACTCGCGGCTACGATATCAAGCGCTCGGCACGCCAAAGTCACGCGAAGTGGAAGAGATGCTCCGAATAAACGCATTGCAATGCTTCGGCTCTGGTTTGTACAGCTAAAGTCACCGCAGGGAGGCAAGGCGTTTGCGGGAGGTATGTCGCCAATCCGACAGGAAAGCGTTGTTTCTTAGGGCAGGAGGACAGCAAATATTTCTTGGGGAGACGCTGCCGTGATGGGAGCTGCAAACGGCCACGAGGGAGACGGTACTTGTCTCCCCACCAGCAACAGGGAAGATCCAGGCCAGGTGCTGGGGGGCGGCCTTCAAAACCTTCAGACTGAACCCCTATCCCTGTGCTCAGATCTCACCCCTGGCTTAGGGCTGAGGAAGGGTTTTGGGGTGAGTCACTGAAGGCTTCTTTGACCTCCCTTACCCATGTTTCAATGGACTAGAGGGGGTTGACTAGCAGCCTTCACCTCCCTGCAGTGGGGCTGCAAAGAGGATGGAGCTGGACTGGTCTCAGTGGGGGCAGATGACAGGACAAGGAGCAATGGGCTCAACTTGCAGCAAGGGAAGTTGAGGTTGGGTATTAGGAAAAACTCTCTCGCTGGGAGGGTGGTGAAGCACTGGGACAGGTTACCCAGAGAGGTGGTGCAGTCTCCATCCTTCAGACCTGGGCAGACAAAGCCGTGGCTGGGATGATGTAGTTGGGGCTGGTCCTGCTTGGAGCAGGGAGTTGCACTAGATGTGACCTCCGGAGCTCCCTTCAACCCTCATTTCTGTGAGTCTATGACTTGTGCATACAAGAGGAGCTGGACCCTGGGGTTGCGTTCGGCTCTGCTGAGCCACCAGCGGAGAAAACCACCCTCGGACAATTTCCTGATGGCCGGAGGCTGCCTGGGCCCTGTCCAACAAGGGGCTGCAGGGAGGGGGGACCATTTTTCCCATGATCTTCAGCACAAAAGCTTTTTTCAGAAATGCATCGGCTTCACAACCCCTCCCTCGGGTCCTGTGTGCTATCGTGTCAGCCTGTCCGGACCAAGACCAGCTCCAGGAGGATTTCCTTACATGAGGCGGGTCACGGCGCTGGGCAGGAGCAGATTCAAATCCCTGGATGCATCAGAGCAGGATTCAACCTTGGTTTCTCCTCACCTGGTGAGTGCCCCAATCCTTTGGGCTGTACTGAGGGAGGATGCTACCACGGGTCCCCGTTGCAGGAGAGGGAGAGCGGAGCCTCTGGTGTCCACTCCAGCTGTCGTCCTGGGCATCCCTGCCACCCCTGCCAAATCCCTCTGTAGGCAAGTGGCATGCACTGAAGCACCCGTGTCCTAGCAGGGCATTTATAGTTCCTGCCCCCCCTTCAGGAGTCATCTCTTCTTCCTTCTAGAGGCATGTAAGGGACTTGACCGAGTCCCCAAAAAGATGCAGTGGCAGGGCACATAGCCTAACGCGGGCTGGTCCTGAGGGCACTGCCCATCTGCACAGCACAGGGGCCCTCTCTCAGCACCAGCAAAACCCTCTGAGGTGTGTCAAAGCCATTACCCTCTATTAGCATGCATAATACACACCGGTTTCCAGGGCCTGCATCATATCTGTGACGTCCTTACCTAAACAACCGGGTACCCGTCAGCAGCAGGGTGGGCTGAGGCAGCCTGCAGCATGCAATCCTAGCTAGGTACCAACTCAGCCCCACGAGGCCGGCGCTGCTTGGCACCTGGACACAACCCCGCTCCGGTCCTAGTAGCTGACCAAGGGGCAGGAGAGTCCGGCCGTGGCAGGAGGAGGGGCAGGCATGGGGTCTCTAGGCCAGGCCGCAGGTGCAGCGCCCGTTGATGCCACAGCCAGTGCATCCAGAGCAGGATTCAGCCCCAGATGTTTCCCTTCCCTCTTCATTTGCATTCTGGGAATGGATCAGAAACCAAATCAAACAGGAGCCTGACGCCAGCCCCTACATCTGCCTTCAGAAGCCCTCCGCCACGGCCACAAGCACCCACTAATCCCGGCCAGGCAGCGCGGCGGATAAACCAGACAGGGCTGCAGCAGCGGGGCTGGATGGCGCTAAGTCACCTCCCAGCCCTGCTCCCCTGGGCCCCGGTCCTGCAGGACGGGATGTCCCCAAAATGCCCCTCCTGTAGCCGTGGAGGGGGGGCGTTTCAGGTGAGAGCAAACTCCCTTTTTATCTGCAAGACCTGCCTGAGGAGCAACCCCCCATGCTGGGGCTGGTTTTAATGACCGATGCCGGCACTTTGGAAGCAGGGCTCCATCTGCACGCAAACAGGCTGGCCGGTCACCCCCGAGTTACGGCGCTTCCCTGAAAGCGCATGGAGGGGGTCACCCAAAGTGTCCGTGCACGGCTTCGATTGACCAGCCCGTGGAAATAGAGAACAAATGAAAACCCGATGGCAAAAAGCAGCGTGCGGCATGCAGGAGCCTGGATGTCACACGGAGCCCTGTCCTGGTCTCCGTCTGCGCTCGCTCCCCCTGCTCCTGCCCGCGGCCAGGCGAAGGCTTTGCTTCTTCCACCCTCAGACCTTGGCTGTAGCTTGGGCGGCCTCGGGCATTCAGTAGCCACATCCCCTATTAAAAATAAACCAGGTGTGTCCTGAGCCTGAAGAACAAGAACTGCTCTGGGGTCCTCAGTGGAGAGCCCCCCCGCGCTCCCCGGGGCTGTCCCAAGAGGGCTTGCCAGGATGCGGTGCTGTGCTGCAAGGAGATGCTGTATGAAACCCCGGCTGGACCTTGTCAAGCTGGGGAAGAGATTTGGGAAAGAAAACCAGGCTGAGAGGCAGGGAGGATATTATGCTGGTCAGGCCCAGCACTCAGAGGTGGTGGGATGATGGAGTTGGGGCTGGTCCTGCTTGGAGCAGGGGGTTGGACTAGATGTGATCTCCCGAGGTCCCTTCCAGCCCTCATTTCCTATGATTTCTATGATAAACCCTGGGGTGGTCCGTCATTCAGAGGAAAGTCTCCTCTCTGGAGATGACTTCTGGCTGCTTCCCTCTGCTTCGCATGGATGGTGGATGGATGGGGCTGGCTCGAGACTCATCCCAGCACATGCTTTCCCGCCAGCAGCTGCTCCACTGCAGCCCACACATGCTCCCAGGACCTGGTCCACCCCCAAAAAGTCCAGGGGACAAACTTTTGCCTCCTCCGGTCTGCATGCAGCAGCTGTCCTGGGGTGCAGAGGCCCATGAGATGTCCTGGGTGGAGTCTGCAGCCAAGACGTGCTCTCACGTGGATCCCCAAATCTGTGGCATGGAGAAAGAGAGCTAGCAGCCCTAATGGGAGCAAGAGGACATATACCTTGTCTTCCCACGGCAGACAAAACTCTTAAGGTAGAGGTGATATCTTTTATTAGACCAATGGCTATGACAAATATCCTTCATCTCCCCTAGGCAGGTCTCCTTCAGACCCTTGCACTAAGCACTGGAGTTTCTCTAGCAGGAAATGACCCGGGACTCAGATCTGTACACTAGTGCTAAGATCCTCGTCTAATATACTTTGCAATTAATTGCTGCCGGAGGACTTGCCTGTGACTGCAGGATTACACACGCGTTCTTTGCCGAGAGTCAAAGACACACACACGGCCTCTCTCTCTCACACCCCCCCCCCAACGTCTTTATGAGAAACCAAATTTGAGCAAACCAAAGCCCCTTAAATTAAATGCAATAAAAAGTTTGGCCGGCTTGCAAAGGAGCTGGCCTGGGTAGTTCTGAAGGGACTTGGATCTCCACAAGGCTAATGACATCTTTAAAAAAAATAATAAAATAAAAAAGAGCCCAGTGTAAATTTCCCTGAGTGGTTTTCGGCTTTAATGGGAATGGCCCTGATATACAACAGAAAAGGCCATTCCAAAAAATGAACTAGTTTTCCAAGTGGCAGGAAGCCAACAGAACAGGCCGTTCATGAGCAACAAGCCTGGGTTTTAAAAAAGAAAACCAAAAATAATGAAGCCTAATGAATATGAGAATGCCTAAAGGGGTTAATGACCAGCCAGAGATTTGAGCTATTCCCAGACCGCGGCAAGGAAAGGCTAAATCACAGGCTGAATCGACGAGCGCACAATGGCTGAGAGCTACGGGAACGTGTTGGGAGAGATGACTGGCTTCGGTCTCTCCACTGCTCCCCCTCCCGAGGGTGACCACCTGTCCTTAATTGGGTGGGACAGTCCCAAAATCAAGTCCTGGTCTCAGGCTGCGTGACTCTGGGACGCGTTGGTCTCAGATTCCCAGTATCCTGCAGAGATCCGGGTTTTCTGTTTACTGCAGAAAAAGGCAGGAAATGGGTTTCCCTTGCACATTCACAGCGCTCCAGCCTGCAAGGGGCTGCTTGGGGCTTGGGGGAGTAGGACGCAGGAGGTGCCACATGCATGTGTGCATGCGCACATGCACGAGGCCAGGAATACAGCTAGGCAGCGTGGAGAGCAGCTCCCTGAAGGGAAGTCTATGGGCAGGGAGGGGCTTAGAGGGATCGGGGATCAAAAGCAGCGTAGCCACATCCACACAGTCGCACAAATCCTAGAGAAGCAGGGATGGAAGGGAGCTCCAGGTCACATCTAGCACAACCCCCTGCCTGAAGCAGGATCAGCCCTGTCCAAACCCTCCCAGACACATCCATCATCTAAATGCTGCATAAAACTGCCATCAACCCTAGCACAACACAAAATATCACACCCAAACCTGCCCCGGGGAAAGCAGGAGGACTGCGGCAGCCAACGTCCTGCTTCTGGTAAAGGTTGTTAATATACTCTCCAGAGATCCCAGGTGGAGGCTATGACCCTACTACAGAGGAAAGCAACCTCCCAGTCCACGGGGGAAAATTCCCTCCTGACCCTAAATACAGCATCAGTCTGGCCCTGAGCAGAGATGCAAGACCCTCTAGCCAGGAACCTCTAGGTGTAGGACCCAGCAGAAGCAATCCCCAGTCAAAATCCCCAGGGGTGCCATGCATCAGCCCACATGAGGCCCCATGTGGACACATCTAGGCCTATTCTAGTTGGGGTGGCAGTGCATGTGGATCAGCATTTGACCTCATCTTTGTTAAGCCCGGGAAATCCATGCTCCAGACAGGGCCTCGGTGAGTGGTGGCATCCTGCTGCAATGCCATGAAGTGGCATATACCGTGCACAAGTGCTCTTGTCCAAGAAGATTATTTGCTCCAGGAAACCCACCCTCCTTTGGCCATTTGGGCAAAAGCTGCTGTACATCTGAGGAAAGTGCTATCCCTCATGGGTCTTAGGGAAGTGGACAGGTCCAGGACATGCAGGACAGTGACAATCATCACCACAGCGTCCGAGCGCCTTACCATTGGCGATGGGGTTTATCCTCCCTGTGACTTGTTCCACGTCTCACAGGAAACTTGTAACTCATCCAAATAACACCTGAGCTCATCTAGACCTGCACTGCTCGTCCCATGAGAGCTGCACCTAGGGGTAAGCCAGCTGCCTGTGATGGATTTGCAGCCTTGGGGTCCCAGGGAAGGCCACGGTGCGGTAAGAGCTCCTTGGTGCAACACACCGGGTTCGGGGCTTGTACTCCCAGTTCCTCACTCTTTGGGATGCAGACAGTGTCACTGGATATCCTGGGGTCTGGCCCAAGCCCATCTAGATGACACGGACTGCCAGTGCCCTGATGAACAATGTCTTACCTTCAAAAGCTTGTTTGACTCTGTCTCAGCTATGCCGTGGGTCCAGTAAACCATACCAAACACCACCGTAAGTAATTCTTGCCTCTCGCGTCACTCCTGCATCGTCAAGGCTACAACATCACACCCATGCTACCTTCTCCCAACACTTTTACCACTCAACCCTGCCTGACGGGGACACAACCTTTAGTTTCACAAACCGAACCCACGAGGCTGTTAACTCAATGCACCGGAAATCAAGCCAGCCTTGGGCATCGCATTCCTCGTGGACCGAGGTGGTAGTCGGTCTCACCTTGGTTAAGGGTTCGCTTCACAGCCCGGCTCTCAACGCTAGCACAATTGTTTGACAGCGGGAGGATGTGTATACCTTGAAACACGTCCCCAGTCTCATTGTTCTTGAACTTTGGAAACATTTCCACTGATTGTCTCTCTTTTTTTTTTTTTGTTTAAGGAAGAATGAAATTGGATGCCAAACATCTATTCTGTTCTGTCTACAGTCTTATACCATATCCACCGTCATAATATCTTGACCTGACAATGACCCTTGAAGAATTGATTGGGTGTCTGGAAAAGCATCAGCTCATAACAGAGCTATTTTCATTTTTATTTACTTTGTTACCTGCATTTTTTTTTTTGATGCATGGCAAGAATAAATTTCTCAGACATGGGCAAATACAATAAGAATAACTGCTTCTTGGACAGTCACCAGGTTATTCAAACTCTGGAGCAAGTACATTATGTCACCACGTCTGATGCCTGGTTAATTGTCACAAAAGAATACAGGGCACCTGAGCGTGAGATCGGTTTCTGGTGGATTACAAAACTTGGAGCTGCTGGGACTGTTAATGCCTTTGGTCCTCAGATCTATCACTCGGCGTGTTGCCGCCCAGCTATGGAACAAAAGAGATTAAAAAGACATACAGTAACCGAATGCAAAACTCCTACAGATCCTTGGACACCGAGCAGATTTACATCTCTGCCCATGCTCTACAGCAGCATGCGTGTCAGGAGACAGTTGTCAAAGGCACTGATCTGCTAAAAGCACAAATGCCCCATTGATCTAGAGGCCAGATATAATGAAAGTCCTGAGCTGTGGCATGCATAATACCGGGTAGAAGTCAGCTTGCAAAGGCAATTCACTGCAGTTTCTAGATTTCCTACCAGGAAACATCATGAATACGAGCCCACCCGCAGGAAACTGCAGAATGCACAAAAACAGGGATGCTTTACAGGCGTCAGAGGTGCAACGGGTATTTTTAAAAATTATCATTATTATTAAAACATATTCTTGAAAATATAGGAGCATCCAGTGTAGCTCTAGGACTGCTCTTTGGCTGACTCCTTTAGGAAGCACACTCCCTAGGCAAAGCCAGCCTCCCCACCCCCCCTGCACACACACACAATCTCAATCAGAAAATCTGATTTGGGATGTAATTTGCATAGCAGGTCTCATGATTTCATTTAATCTGCCCAATCCTCTTACAGAGCAGAACAGCATAAGTTATCACAGGCAACGTGGTTGCTTAGGGACTGGGAACCCACCCGCCCATCTATCCCAAACATTCACTCTAGTTAATCTTGCTGTATATGGCGCAAAGTGGCGGCCAACAAATCCAGCCTTCCCGTGCAAGAAGCATCTCCGTTCTGCAATGAAAGAGGCCGTGATGCAGGTCTGTACGTTTTGCCCCCCCGCCTCGTCTCACCGGCGCATCTTTATTTCACGCGACAAAGGAGCTGCCTGGTCAGACGGCTCACCGGCCCCAGGGCGAAGCGCACGGGGTGGGCTTGCAATATACAGCCCAGAAGAGCAGCAGGAGCTTAGGGGCAGAGTCAGGAGGAGAGAGACAGTAAAGACAAAGACAGTAATAGATTGCAAGTCAGCACATTTTGGGGCAAGACCAGTGATTGCTTCCTCCTGCTGATTTGGCCTTTCTCTATTGTCCCCACGGGTGTTTTGGGCCAGCTCTGCTTTGCCTCTTGCTCTCACTGAGGAGCTTCTCCGGAGTTGGCAGGGCCCAGGGCTGTGATGAGCTTGCTGATGCCCTGTATTTGCAGGAAGGACCCTAAATGCATACTGGGGAAACGGGGATGCCGACAACTCGATGGACTCGTAGCAGCGGCTGCCCAGAGCTCTCCAAAAGGGACCAGACTTGCCGAGCAACGAGAGATGCTCTGCCTTCCCCTGGTTCGCAATGTCCCTGGAGCTGCTTGCACCGGCAGTCGATGGGTGCTCATCGGGAGCGCCGAGAAACATGAGGCCGCAGTGTTACAGCTGCTAAGAGCTGCTTCTGCACCCCTGACGCTCCCAAGTGCACAAGGCCCTTCGCTGTGGCGGTGGCTGTCACTCGCCTTCCCCACCGCCCCTCAGTCACTCTGCCCCTCTCCTATACCCCAGGCTCTGGCTGGACAGGTGCCATCTGCAAATAGATAGGAAACCTCCCAAATGGCTGCTGCAAATGCTCCAAACCCTACCCCACCACGCAGAGCTTCAAAGCTGGGAACCAAGAGCCTCGGGTCCCTGCAACGGTACTGGCAAGAGCTTCACCCCAAAAGGGTCCCTTGCTGCCCGGCTGGCTCAGGCTGTCTCCCATTGCACAAGCTGGGCTGAGCAGTGATCCCAGACAGATGCAGCTGATTTTTATTTCGGAATGATGCTCTCACTAGGGACGGGTAAATGATGAGGAAGAGCCGGGGTCTCCGGCCAGATAAGCATTTCGTAGCCTGGACCCACTGGAACAGCCCTGGGAACCTCGCACGAGGAAGATCTCTCACTGAGTTTTCCCAGGATTTTCTGCTCTGGCAGGAAACACCGTGAGAACAGGCTCTCCTATGACACTTTAGCCACCCCTCCCCACCACCGCTGTCTCCAGAGGAGTCTGGAAGAGCAAGAGACCGGCACAGTCAGCGTCTCAGCCCTTGAAACCATCTGCGCAGATGTCTGGAAGCAGGGTCGGTTCTCTCTGCCCGGCCCCAGATCTCAGGGACACCTTCCCTACTGTTGTGACCGACCCACTGAAACACCCCCCAGACCTGGGTGACTTCGCTGTGCACTTGCCAAACGACCTCTGTGCAACAAAGGTGCAAATCCAACCTACAGCCCAAATGGTTGGCACCAAAGGTGGGTGCAAATCCATCCTGCAGCCTAAATGGCTGGCACCAAAGGTGGGTATGAATCGATCCTACAGAGCACATGGTTGGCACCAAAGGTGGGTGCAAATCCATCCTACAGCCCAAATGGTCGGCACCTCGCATCAACAGTTACCAGAGCGTCGAATAAAAGCCATTAGGCCTTGCTAATTTGGGCGTGTGATTATAGGGCAAACATATCTTTTTGCCCAATCAGACACCAAAGGCTCGGTCCACATTGTAGCCTTCTATTAACTCTTAATAAGCAGCTCTGCTTACCACTCCCCCACCCCACTTTTTTTTTTTTTTAAAGCCAAATACTTTTAAAATGATTGTTGTGATCAAATAACTTCCCCAAATACCACCAAGTATTAAAATCCCCCACCTCCCCCCAATATCCTTTATCCTTTAAGGTTCTTTATAATTCAATAAACAGGATTTCAAATCCTCCCCAGACCAGAGTGGACTTGTTCTGCTCTGCTGTTCCAGGCCAGTCTTCTAATGCACACTCTTATTAAGCTGTGCAAGCTTACAGCTCTTTAATCTTTTTGAACACATGTTGAGAAGAATAAAAGCAATTTTGTTTAGGAAACTGAAGGCCACGTTCAGCTGGAAATAAGCTGTTTCTATAATCTCACCTCTTGCATCGTGGAGCTGACCGCACGGCGGCTACGCCGCCACGCAGGAAAAGGTGTCACCCCAGCCCAGTTGCTTCCTGTTCATCCTGGGCAGGGAGACTTCAGCGAGAATCCTAATTTTGGCTTTTTTCTGCCCCGAATCTGGACAATTTTTTATGATTTCTGCCTTCAGAGTAATCTCCGATCTGGACGTCTTTTGGATCAGAGCTAATCTGGATGTAATTCCCCTACCTCTCCCTCTGCCCTTGGCAACGCACAAATACAGATTAGAGGGTTATATAAATGTAATTTTCTAATTAATCATTTTAGATCCAGAGACTGGGCTTTGGTATAGGAACAAACGCATGTAAAGATGAACCTCTGTGGGAGGGAGGAGCTTTA